GCAGGCTTCTTCCCTGTGCCCAACTCTTCAGAATCATTTAAAAAAAAAAAATTCAGTATCTGATGCTGAATATACTTTCAGATTATATTTAGGGATAAAAATGGAGTCAATTGCTGTTATAAACTAAAGAAAATTTATATTTGATGCCTAATAAAATAGGTTAATTTTCTCAATAAATCTTTTCTTTAGAAGAATGGTGAGCACCATCTAGTGACTAAAATAATGTTCACATTTAATCTTCAGGGTGAAAACTATTCCACAAGATCCTTTATCTACTATGTGGTGACTAGATTTGCTGTTAAAGCTTACTTATAAGTAAGCATAAATATAACTGTCAAACTTATTTAAATTAAGCACCATTTTTTTCAGATTTTGAAGATGCCTTCTAACATACTTATCTGTCAATTCTGTAAGAATTTGACAATTTAAAACCTAACTAGCAGACCTTTTCCTCCAAAGATTTGTTATATATGTTAATTATAATAATTTGTCTCCATTTAGATTGAATCTTCTGACATGTCTTGGGCTGTCTGTTCTCAACCCTTATATCAAGAACTTCTTTTTTCACTTCAACTCTAGGAAAATAAAAGTGAAAGGTAAAGCAATCAATGCATACTTTAAAGCAGGGGTTTCCAACCTTGGCAATTTTAAGACTTGTGGACTTCAACTCCAAGAGTTCCTTAGCCAGCTTCTCTGAGAAAGGAGCAACAGCAAACAAAGCAAATGAAAAACAATAGTCAGCCTAGCCAAAAAAAATAGTTAATTAACATCTTTTTTAGTAATACTTTGAGTTTTAGTACATATTCAGGTTTATTGCAGAAGAGGATAGTTTTAGAGAGATATCGGCATCCCTTTTATAAGGTTGTTATGCAGGTGCTGCTTGATGCTGATGCTATTGTTCTTCCTTATCAGTTTTATAATTTTATGTAAAGGTTGGAGGAGCAAAAGCTATTAGGAAGTTGTTTTATCCATTCAAGCAAAATATTCCCATCTTTGGGATTTAGCAAATAAATCATAACATTATCTATTGTTAAATAATTTGTTCAAGATAGAAGAAAATGTGTTGCATGATATATAACTCTACTCTGCTGCTAATATGAGCATTTGTAGCCAAAGAATTATATATAATTTCTTCTTTCTTGTTAGATAATCATTTCTGTATAGATTTCCAGCTGTATTAGATTAATATGTTTTAATTAAGTATGAATGGCTGATATCATAGAATACTACTTAATATGAACATCAGGAAACAATATTTTGATTTAATGAGATCTTTATTTCCAGTACGAATAGTTTACATCTTTTATTGATCCACTTTGAGGTATTGAATATACTATATATAGAGCTGGTCAGCTCTTTGTTCTACAATTTTACTTATGAAAGTATTATCCAGAGGCTTCTTAGTGATTAATATATTGATGCTTTATTTGAGGAATATATTGCAAAACATAAGGCTTATCACTAGAAGATTCTTTCACATGCCTTTCCAAAGGGACATATTATCACTAGCCATGTGATGATGTACCTGTGTGATCTTTGCCTTGCAGTATATCATTTTTTTTCTACTCTGAAAACTGATTTTCATATGGGGACAGCTTTATTTTTGTTTCTGCTGTTGTGCTTGCATATGGGAAAACACAGAAGTAAGGCAAAAAAAGATATAATAGGGATTGTATTAAAATATTCAACCATATTTTGCTGCAATGCATACCTTCCTTCCTTCCTTCCTTCCTTCCTTCCTTCCTTCCTTCCTTCCTTCCTTCCTTCCTTCCTTTTTCGTTTGGAATCTCAGATAAGAAACTGGATGTAATTTGGAAGGAAATCAAATGCAAATGAATATGGGAGCAACAGTTTAGCAAAATGAGTATATTTGAGGTCAGGAAAATGATGGTTCAGATGTTGATTACCGAAGTGTGGCAAACCTTTTTTCAAAGCTGATGACTAACTAAATAAGTACACTAAATAAATATAAAAATGAAACTCTGTAAAATTTAAACACATGTCTTGTTGAGATAAAGTTAATATTTTACAATTTAAAAAATGAATCAAAAGATAGAGAAAGAGAAAGAAGGAAGGAAGGAAGGAAGGAAGGAAAGAGAAAGAGAAAGAGAAAGAGAAAAAAAAGAAAAGAAAAAAAAGTTCTTCAGGAAACGTATGCCATTTGTTGTAACAATTAGTCTTTATTTGCTTAAAGGTAGTTCTAAACAGAATGCTATAGGTAAAAATCACATTTAAGCATTTTACTTTTAAAATAGTTTTTAACCTTATTCTTGTAATGTATAATATAAATTTAATGTATAAATTTTATTACTATTTCTACTTTAAAAAAATACACATTTACAAAATTTATTAGAAAGGGGGGGGACCCCAAAGAAAATTATAATTGGTCCAGTAGCAAGATCAGTGACAGAAAACTAAAAGTAATTGAATCAACTGTCTAATATAGCTGATGTTGTAACTGTTATGAGAGCTAAATAATTAAATAAGCCAGTCTAATGGTTAAAGCATAAAGCTATAAACCAAGAGGTTGAGTTCTAATCTTGCCTTAGGTAAAGTAATAAATGTAGGATAAAATTGTTATTAGGTTTATGATAAATAAAAATATTAGTGTTTAATACTCCTTTATGTAACTGGATATTTGATTTTCTTATTGATAGGCCCCAGTTTATGCGAGTTGGAAGAAAAGTTTCCAATTCCATCTCCTTGAATACAGGTTCCCCACAGGTCTATGTCTTGAGTCCACTATTGTTTACCTTGATGACCCACAACTACTGTGCCAAATCTGCTACAAATCATATTGTGAAGTATGCGGATGACATGACAGTTTGGGTCTTATCTGGGATGACAGTGAAGATGCTTATAGGGAAGATGTGAAGGTTCTGGAGGACTGGTGCAATAAAAGTAACCTGGTTCTAAATGTTAATAAAACAAAGGAGATCATTGTAGATTTTAGAAAGAGCCAACATGGTCATACTCCACTCAGTATTAAGGATGCAGCTGTAGAGATGGTCAACAGTATTAAGTATCTGGGGTGCAGATAATTAATAATCTGAACTGGTCTCTCCATACGTCATCCTTAGTGAAGCGTGCAAACCAGGTCTGCATTTCCTGCATCAGATGAGGAGACCACAACTTTCTCCTTCTGTCTGGGCCAGTTTTTACAGAGGCATGATTGTGTGTGTTTTAACAAACTGCATCACTGTTTGGTTTGGTGGCAGCAGTGCCTCAGATAGAAAGTCCATACAGAGAGTGGTAAGGACAGCTGAGAAGATTATAGGAAGATTGCTTCCTGTTATTCAGGATACTGCTTATAAGCGCTATGTGCTTAGAGCCCAAAGCATGGTTAGAGACCCCACACACCCACCTCACGGTCTGTTTCTGTTGTTCCCCTGTGGGAGGAGGTTTCGAAGTATTTCTAGCAGGACTACCAGATTCAAAGCTAACAGCTTTGTTCCCTAGGCCATCCATCCTGTAAACTCCCAAGATTCGTTTTTCTCACCATATACATTTATACATACAAACTAGACTGTGTTTTTTCTCTGTGTCATATAATATATGTGGGTATATGCATAATCTTTATTTATTTATATTTTTGTCATCTTAATGTAGTGTATATTGGAGGTAGTGACCCTTTGAGAGCTGTATGCAATGAAATTTCATTTTTATGTAATGCCAATTAGTGTACATTTAAAGTGACAATAAAGTTATTCTAAGTCTAAGTCTAAGTCATTAAATAAATTAGAATTTAATATTTTATAATTAGTTGCTGTCCATTTAGTTTCAGATCAGTTTATCTGAATTATAGCTGATGCCAAATTATTTTTATTATCAACCAAACACAGTAGACTGAAGTCCATGAAAAGGTAGACAAAGGTAGGTGAATTAGTTTATAAAGCAACCATATTGCTAAATGTTGAACAACAATAGAATTTGGCAACTTTTCTGGATATTACAGATAACCTGTTGCTAAGGGAATATTTCTTCCTCTGAGTTACCAGGGCTATTGATTAAGACATACACTTAGTAGTAGAAAGAGGAATGAAGGAATGTGTGTAATTTTGCCCTAACAAAGAAACCTTAAATCTCCTGACACTATCAGTAGTACTTGCAGGTAGATCTCTATAAGCCATAGCAATAAGGTAGAATTCTCTTAGAGAATTCAGACTCAAGCTCTTTAGGGCTTTGAAAGTAATTACTAATATTCGATGGTTTATCTTGAAAATCAACAGTTAGCAATTCCTAGATATATAATTTCGGTCTTAAGAACACAGACACAGATTGTATTAAAATATTTTATTCTCTTTTATGAATCCATCTGGTAATTAAGTTGTGTATTATGTTGCGCTCAACTACTATATGCTTCTAAGCTCTTTTCCCAGGGTATATATGAGACCCCATTTCACAATCCTTTCTTAAAACTAATTTAGGTTTTATTGTCATGTTTCCAGTAGTATACTTGGAAAGACTAACAAGTCTGAGGTGGCTTTCAGAATAACAGAGTTGGAAGGGACCTTGGAGGTCTTCTAGTCCAACCCCCTGGTTGATGTTATTTTAGACAAATGGTTAATTTAGTAGATGATGTTGAGGGATTGCCCTTGTACAAGTTTCTGCAACGTTCCATCTTGTTCCCCAATTCATAATTTTAATATTTAGAGAGCAACAAGATCTCAGATAATGCTACTCTTCTCCTATTCTTACCCTCTAACCCAGGAGTGTGAATGTACAGAAGTTATTTAAAATACAAGAGCAAATAAGAAATCCTGCTGATCCTAGATGTGTTCAGCATGTTAAGGATGGTGTTGTGAATGAACTTGATAGTTTAGGAATAATCTGCAACCATCCTTGCTTACAAATATGCAGATAGTAATGAAACATTAGCAGTGTCATCTTTTTGGACCTTAAGAGAGTCTGAGCCCTTAATTTATTCAAAATATGGAAGCCAATGTTGCTTGAATGGGATATATAATATGAAAGACCTGTGATTATCTATTTGTTTTCAGCTCAATGCAAAGTCCTGGAAGTCCTAAAGAGTTTGAGACAAGAGTCCTTCATGAATCAAATTCTCCCCTATGGGAACTTTGCTCACCTTATGATCCCTTCTTACAGTCCCATATCTGCCAGATATTCATCTGGAAGGAACAAGAGAAAGGTAATTTTATAGTTATGCTCAGTTTATGAAATAATATTTTGTAAATATTATTATTTCACTTCTTATCAGGCACTTCTCTTTCATTTTTCCGTTAAGGTTTTGTTGTTGATAAATGTCTATTTTTTTCCTTTAGTGTAAAAAAAACCTTTGGTTTTTAAAAATTCATGATATTTTGTTGCAAGCCACCTTATTTCTACAGTGCAGGAAAAAAATGAACATTCTATTATACAAATGTAAAATAGATAAATCTTTGTTTCCATCTGTTAAGTCACATACTCTGTTTTTTATATTTCACAAGGTTGTTTAATGTTTATAGATTTAGAATAGAATATTTTATTTGGTCAGGTGTGATTAGACACACAAGAAATTTAAGATAGTATATTGCACAGTATCAGTGAATTCTGGCCAATCTTGACTTTGTTGCATCTCCAATCATTCCTAGCATAACAGATATTTCTAAGAAATATAATCATGTCATGACTAAAATTGGTAATCTTAGCTTCAGGTCATATTTCTGGTTTAATGAAGTCTAAATATCCTGGTTCACTATACTGGGTATAAGAGTAGGGTATAAGGGTATTTCACAGCCAGTAGCTGTTGGGCAGTATTGGGCATCAGGGTTTAGTGACCATGCTCTACACAATACATTTCCACATATTTTATAGGCAACTTAGCAGGGACTAACCAGGCTCCTGTCTTTATAGTCAAGTGTCCTGACTTCTGATTGGTCTTTAGCCAGGTGATTTCCAATTGGTTCTTTGTTTCTGCCCAATTGTGGTTGGTTGTTTTGGCTGTATTTGTTTCTGATGGATACATTGTTCATGCTGGCCTTTGCTCATTTTTGAAGTGCTCATCTCTGATTGGTTCATTGCTGGTGCTGGATTCTGGTTGGTTAGTCTGAGCACCTGAATATCGATAACGGCCTTGTCCAGGCAAATTTATGATTATCCCATTTTGGGGAGCTGATTCTTGGTTGGTTCTGCTTTTGGGCAGAATCTTGATGTGGCACAGGCAAATAACCAAGCTTTGTTAACCTTCAGACATTTTTCTATTGTGCTACACCATAATGATCATAAAATTCAGTTCAAGGACACACAGATGCTGTCAACAAATATCAAACTATTTTGTACGCCTGCACTGAGAGGCTATTGAGATCCATAAACATCCCAATAGTTTCAACAAGAAAGAAGTCTAAAAACCACACCAAGATCCTACCCAAAAGCAGGATCGACCAGGATTGGTTGTACTGTTATACAACGGAGCTATAAGAATTTTGGTTGATTACCAAACACTGACATCATCACAGCACCTGACCAATCTCATCAGTTCTAGAAGGTGGGAAGTCATAGTGAGGCGGCTCCAGCAAATCTCAGGATATAAATTAGATTGGGAAATTGAAATATACCCCAGAAGAAAACATGAGCAAATGACTTCCATGTTTCTACCAAGAATGTTATGTGAACATATCCATGAAATCACCAGCAACTGAGCTGACTTGAAAAAGATTTCACCTGTATTATACACAAACCTTTGAAAGTCAGTGTAGTTTCTTTTTCTGCCTTCATAGAGCAAGTGATGGGAAAAGCCTTTCTCTTCTGGAGCTTCTGGAAAGTTGCTGCCAATTAAAATCAGCAGGTTGGTGTTTAATGGGACAAGATCCTGGCATAGAAGGCAGTTGGTTTCATTCAAGCTTAATTGTTGCAAGTTAGTTCAGAGATATTACTGCATCTACTGACATTTGTGGTTGACAGCAGCTTGTCCAATCTAAATTTGGCCCCAAATATTTAATCCTTTTAGGAGACCTATATCAAATTTGGCCCAGTTCATGTGACATCTGCATCCTGCTTCAGTATGTTAGACCGTATTTACTGCACATCATATCGCACCTGCCAACACTGTCATAGCCAATTGACATTTTTTTTAAAAAAACCTTGTAGCTGCATATCGTCAAGAAAAACAACATTGTTTTAGGACCTCTTATCTCTTAGCTCCCAAATATCCTGTTTCTTCAAACTGCAGTAGCCAGGACCAATAGAAACCTCTTCCTGCCACTGCCTGACTTCATTTCCCAGAGTTAGCACAATCTCATCCGTTCTAAATAACTTCATCAAAACTTCTTTCTGGTCAGAGTGAAGCAATAATTATTATTGACAATTATTAGCGATCAATAAGCTAGATACATTATGGCGAGCACTATTAAGGTAAGAAAGGGAATGCCTTGTGGTTAGCCTTTTTTATATTGTGCTTTTCCTCCCAAAATTTGCTTTTTAAACAGCAGTAAGGTAGAATTGGGCAACACCCCCACAGCCACAATAGAGGACAAGAAGATTTCCTTTGTACTGCTTAGTAAATTTCCTTTTTCCTACTCCCTGTCCACAAGGCTTAAAAACTTGAAACTGAGAAAAAGTTGGGTGTTTTTTTTAAATTCACTGTTCAGTGCTGTGGATTATACTTGCAAAGCCTTTGGAGGGAAGACCTGAATTTACTGGTTGCAATAATTTTTGAACAAATTTGGATATTTATCTGAATTAGGCTCTGGAAAAAGTAATTATTGAGAATTAAATAACACATTTTGGAATTCTTCTCAGCATTTGATTTGATGCTGAAATTTTCTTCTTTTAATTTGGATATTATTTTGAAATAATATTTTATTCATCTTATTTTGTACTATGAGAATTAGTAAGGTTGTTCTTTTAAGATATGCTTCATTAAAAAAAAAACATGGGGGAGTATTTAATAAAATCTGTGACAAGTTTGTGACTCCAGTTTCTTAGCGTTATTTTTAGCTTTTTAAAAAAACTGCTTAGCATGATAATGTTCCTAAAGCTGGATTATAATGTTTTTGAGATAAATAATATATTATTTGTGTCTGTGTAGAATTCACTTATAGTTACAGCTCATAGCTGTAAATTTGATACAGAAATTTGAAATTTGATACGGATTTTTAAATTGATAAGTTTTAAATTACGGGCCAAATTTATTTAATTATTTTAAATCTATTTTTAACTTTATGTATAAATGTTTTTTATCTTGGCTGTTCACCGCCCTGAGTCCGAAAGGAGAAGGGCGGTATAGAAGTTTGAATAAATAAATAAATAATAAATAATAGCTAATAATCACAGCTATGGCAGTAAGTGTTAATTATAAACTGAATGTAATTTTGATTTACTATTAAGAAACAGGATGTATGTTAATGAAAAGCTCTTCAGGGTACAATATTTTATTAATAGCCATATTTTTATCTTTTCCCTAAACTAGAATTTTATATTTTAAAAACAAAATTAGTACATTGATAGCAGAATCCTATGCATATATATTAAGGCAATGTCTAACTAGATTTATTGCATATTATTCAGGTTTAAGTGATTTTAGAATTATATTCCATGTAATTTTCTTTAATAATAATAGTGACCATGGCTTCCTTTCATTTGATAAAGTTACTTAGTATATTTCATTAATTAATATTCTCAAGTATTATTGACTTGCTGAGATGACTGCAGTATTGCTTTGTTTAAAAATCTTTTTATTTTATAAGCATGGACTCTCTGATAGTAGAATATTGAATGAGTGAAATATTGTTTAGTAAAAGTAGGAGAGTAAGATAGATGGGCTTTATTCTGAAGGTAAAAGGGTTGAACATCTTTCCAATTAAGTTTAAAATGAATATTTTAAGACAGTAATATCAGAATAAAAGGAAAACCTAGCAAAAAATTTGGCTTTTTTATTTATTTAATCTTATCCACACTGAGTAAATATGAAAATCAGAATGATAAACCTGACTATTCAGAGCATTTTAAAAAAGAAATACCTATTAAAGCTAATAAAATTTATGACATCTTTATGCATTTTAATGATGTTATCAGAGCCATACTTTGTAATATAGCAGAAGGTTTACAATTATTCTAAAAATGTTATCAGAATTTTATCAGTCAACTTTGCTACCAATGTATAATTTTATGTACTTTGAGAATATAGGAATAGTGATTGACCTATGACAGAGGGAGTTAAATACTGTTATTTTAATTAAAATAAACCTGCACTGTGAGGTGTTCAAAAGATCTTGTTTTTATTTTATCTTATTTGAGGCTATTGCTTTTCAAGAAAGTATTCTGATTACCATTCTAAGGAAATGTGAAAATTCTGGCCGATTTGCATCAAAAGTGTAGTTTAAATATGTCAAAAAATGTAAATTTGGCTGCATGGCATTGCAGTAATTCTTTATTTATTCTAACAATGCACTCTTACTTAAATTTGTTACAGTAAACATGAATCTAACTAGGACGCATAATCATACTGCCATATGACCATACTGCCATATAACCAAAAATCTTTCTCCAACATAAATAGCTCTAATTTCTAATAAAAAATAGAACAATAAATAGATGAATAATATGCAATTATAATAAAACGCAGCAGTAGAAAAAGATAGGTTCTTACATTTTCACCTATTTTTCTCTTCCAATGGGCATAAAATTAATCTTATTACCAGTTTGTAATAAGATTGCGGGTATTTTTTTCAACTCCTGTTATTCAAAATTTGGGAGATATAAAAAGGAAATTTTATTCCACACCAGGTCCTGTTATCTTGCTTCTGTGGCCATTGATTACAATGTAATCGTAATTGATTACATCAATTACAAGGTTATAATAATATGGTTTTTTTTGTTAGCACTGGTTACCCTGAAACTGTGTACTGATTACATTTGTGGATAGCTAAACCACCTAATCTGTATCAGGACATATACACTCTTTTTTTCAATTGTTAGTTTCCTTTTTTGTGGTTGAAATGCTGTGCTATCTGAGATTAAATGTCTGCTTATTTAGAATGGGAATATTTGAGGTTCCATAGTCAGAGTTAAAAACGTGTATTTCTGCATAATACTCAAGCAATATATTAACTACAATGGTTTTTAAATATTTATTATAATCACTTCCTGAAAATATTGGCATACTTGTAAGAAAAGAATCTGTGCAATATATTTTAATGCCTAGGTTGAAAA